CGGTTGAATGTGTTTTTATCTAGTGGAGATTCGAGCAAAAAGAGATCTTAGAACATATCTTATAGATGATCGAAAGAAACCTTGGACTCAAGAACGCAATCCTCAGCTAACTTTAGAAACTGTGGCATTGCAAAACACTTCTTGAGGCTATCTTACACTGAAAAAAGCAACTTGATCAATGATGTCGAGAACTTGAGTCCAGGAAGTTTCGGCAGTTTGAAACATGAGAATTATCCGTGCCAGAAAGTAGGTAATGCCGTCAAGTGTTCCTTTACAACCTGACCTAAGCCCATGTTTCTCGTAGAATAGCCTGTCTTGTCTTTCGCAAATCTGCTGGTTTTCTGAAAACAGATTCGAGAGGGATAAGTCCCAGCAGTCCGAGATGGAGATATCCGAGGATTCCAAAACGGAGATGTCCAAGAAGTCAGAGAGGAGAACTTCTAAGGCGTCCGAAGCTGCTGCGGAAGGGCGAGGTAGATTGATGGCCAATATGGACCTCTCTTCAACAAACTTTCAAAAGTATTCCCCACAAACTCTGGCAAGCGTTCTGTGGATTCGAATCCCTCCTAAACAGGTATTGTAGAGCAAAGAATTTGAACTCCATGACAAGATCCTTGCCATCTGGTATGACACAAACTATTCTGGGTCTCAAATCACTAAAAGGGGCCTTGATTGGATCCAATGCACAAGCTCTCAAAAGACGAGAAAGTTGTTGTTCTGGCTCTCGGCCTCGTGACTGTTGGTCTGGTGGGTGATTTAATCTCAAGCGGCGGTACCATGTGTGAAGCCCTATTGATAGAAGAACCGACGTTCTAAAACTAACAACCGAGTTCTTCGTAAATAGGTTTTGGTCAGTTCTATGTTAAGCAAAGTCAGAATTAAGTCTAGCAAATTCAGCTCGAACCAACAGATGGCCTCACAAAGACACAAAAACCTTTTCAGGGAGCGAAGAGCCGCCTTAATTCTACATAGGATTTTGTGAGAAAGCAACAACATAATGTACTAACCATAGTTCTTGTATGTATTTAAGAGCAAGACGTAGTAGGAGAAGAGCCAGCTTGTACGTATCGCTGAATTTCGTCCGATACATGTGCTATATATGCTTCAGAGCTGAAGAGTTGGTCACTACACTTCCGGCTGTAGTAAATGCTGACCAATCTACTAGTATCGCGTGAATCGACAACTCATCGTACCATCCTTTATTTGGGCACTCTAAGACAAGAGACTCGAATGATGGTCTCTTGAGTAGTCCCATGTATCCTTCAATCTGGGCTTCCAGGGAGGGGTGGAGCCCCCGCCCCATAGTCATTCTTGCTCGGGTCTGGAGGTGAGTTTGGGCGCTCGGGTTTGAATGATGATGGTTCAATCACTCTTTCCCCCTTTGTGCACGACGAACGTCCCGGAATGGTATCGACCTGGACCGGACTTTCGGTTGACTCGCACACAACACCTTGGAACTGAGTTGATCTGTTGGAACTCATCGCATTTAATTCCTTAAGCAGTGGACTGAAAAAGATTCTTTTCGACCACAGAAATTTGTCGACAGATTCCTGCGGAACTTTTGGGGAGGTGTTGTTAAGATGAGGGTGGGCAACCCATTGCCCGCCCCCGGGTTCCCGTTCCTGAGCTCATCAATTATATAAGTAGACTGAATCGCTGCTGCTTATGGCTTCAAGGTCTCAGCGCCCGATACCTTGCATGAACACTGACTGCAGCTCGGATGGGAACCAATGCAGAGTGCTAGCTGGGTAGCACGAGATAAGCCCACTCGTGATTGCTGCAGGCTGTCTGAGAATTTTCGTAGCGTGATGGGCGCCTGCATATAGCTATCTGTACGGCTTTCAAAAAGGTCGACATGCAGCAATTACGTGATGCTTACACTACTCTTGGCACTACGTCTGACATTGTACACAGGAGAAGCTGGCCTTGTTTGTAACACTTGTTGACTAAACACTGTCATGTACGTAGGAGAGCTAAGGAGACGCAAAATCTGCACTATTGGTGTGAGGAGACCTTGGCAATAGGTGACAAGTCTCTGAGATGCGCCACCCAGCTCTAGGGCCTCATTAACATTTAACGTAGCCCTCATTTCAAACCATAATATGTTGCTCTAGAAATTCAGCCTCACTCAAGACCTTTCAGTCCGTCAGCCTGACCCGAACTTAACGCTTCTCAAGACTCTCCCCTAACAGGACCGGTTTGAGAACCTCAAACGGAGCTAAGGTTATCGTGACTGATAAGCTAGTCTTCATGTACTCCTAGTTTACGTTGGGATTTGGTGGTACTCATCAATGTGTTTTGAATACCATTGAAGTGTACCTCTGATGACGACTTTAGAGTTTACCAGGCTGAGCGCTTGTAAAGATCGGCGATTTTCATTGCCAGAGGAAGTAAGCCTTACCTTTCAGCAAAAGGAAGACATAAGAAAGAGCAATCCGTCCGATAATTCAGTCCAGGTTACGCGCATGCCGTCTTGGCGTGTTGATTAGTACATGATGCTAGTATACCATTGATCTGTGCAAAGCTATTCTTTTCGAAGCTCATTACATTTCTAAACGTGAGCTCAAGATAATCGTTCACATCAGATAAACCTTGTTTGTGTAACAAGCCGCAGGATGATATGAGCGACACGAAGCCCAGTACTTTATAGAAAAGAAGTTCCATGTAGATGAATGCCACACATACAAAGGGCAAATTGCGTTCCGTTGCAATTAATTCTTAAAGTCCTTTGGCATGGCTAACAGCAGGATCATACGCGGGCAACACTTCAATTTTTGTCCACCTAGAGACAATTGTCCTATAACTTTGCTCGCGTATTTTCATTTACCTTATTAACAAGCTCCACAACACCCTCTGCACAGCCGTACGATCCCATGTAACCCCAACCTGAATGGCCGTAATTATGAATTACCCAGGTTTGGTCGTCCAGTTTCTCTTCTTCAAGTCGTAGACCCTCCCTTCTCCATGGACGGAAGCCCACACCATGTCGGACAATGTCCAACCCTGCGATACCTTTTCCGCCGGCAATATCTGGGCACAAGTCCACAATGCGCTGCATGATGCGGAGTGCTGTGTTTGGGTCCGGCTGCGAGTTCCAGTTGCCAATGTCGTATGTGCCGCCCAGGATGGTACCACCGCCAGCTGCTCTCTGCATCGCATAAATCTCCTCTCCGCTACCATCCAATGGGCTCGAGCACATTAATAGCGGAAAGTTCTTTGGCGTCTCGTTGCGTACAACTACAATCTGACCGCGAGACGGAGCCATCGTCGAATCTTCAACGCCTCCAAGCTTCAAGGATCCAAGACCGGTTGCGTTGACAATGATGTTGGCTGTCCTGCCCGTGTGGCTGAGGAACTTTGCCTCGTTGATGTTTCTGAGTTTACCGCGCTTGACCACGACGCCATGCTTTAGACATTGGCCAAGAAGCCAAGGAAGGTAGATGGCTGTGTTTATACAGACCCCCTGATACTGAAATCCAGAGTCATAGCCGGGCGCTAATTCAGAAGAACTGTTATCTCGGAAGTTGTTGAAGATAGACTTGTACCATGGGTTATGCTGGTAGAAATGGTTCGAGAAGCCAGATGCGTCACGCACCATGTCTATGTCTCGGCGAAGGATGTGTGTTGCTGTACCCGAATCATCAGTAACAGCACAATGCGCCGGGATATGCAAAGGTCAGTAACCTACTCTGAAAGTGAATACCTGCCTCAGGGTTCTCCTCGGTTAGCTTCTTGAGTGCCACCCAGGTTCGTCGTTCCCAGCGACTCCCTTCTTCAGTTGACAATCTGAAGAGATAACGGAACCACGTCAGAAAGCGAACCGCTTCGATGAGAAAGGGGTCTGCTCACGGAATGACATTAGCCCCAGCCCAAGGCGAGGCATACTCAGCATCATAGTCGCCAGGCATGTGCTTGCCGACCACGGTTACACTATTGCCCTCCTTTGCCAGCAATAGTGCCGAGGTGAGACCAATCACACCAGCGCTCGAAGACAGTTTTGTCAGTACCCATATGCTTGAGGCTTTGTGTGGGCTGATCTGGACACTTACCCGACGACAACTATGGTATTGGACATTCTCGAAGGAGCCGGTAAATATGATGTTGAATTCGTGCGTATTGCAAAGCCACACTCAGATGCGCGATTGATTTGAATGATGGCGTTCCATAAATGACCGTCCCACGCAGAAGCATATTTCTAGTTTAAGCTACTTTTAGTCACCGATATTAGACAGCTTATCCCATCAACCACGGCCTGTCGTTTCATGGGTCAAATCCGAGCAAGTCAGGCAAGTGGATCCCCGTTATCGACACCCAAGAGAGCCAGATAACAGGGCGTGGAAGGTATTTAACTGTTGTCGCGCAGGCCTTCCTGGTTTGGTATCCGTAGGAGGCTAGCAGAATGCGGGGGATCAAGTGGCATGCAAAGCCCCTGCTTGGTCTACTCCAGCCAAGAGCAGTTGAGCTCCACCCCCGCAAATGGCGGATTTGCGGATTTCCCATTGTGTGACATGATTGAGCGTATTGGGCGTGTTGAGCGTGATTCGCAGCCCTCCATACGACTCTGAAGCTGTGTATGTACAGGAGTTGCATTATCCGCAGGTGGGGAAGTCTCAAAGTTGGGCCAATTGAACAAGAGGGAGTCTTGAATCCTAGCTACACCGTTATCGACATTCCCGAGACAGGTCAGGGCGAGATTAACCGCTTTGGAGCAAACTGGGAAAGGTGCTGAAAGGCATCATCGGCGGAGCTGGCACCGGCTGTCGAAATACCAAGTTTTGTGTGAATTAGACAGCAGGAATGGGAAGGCTTACTGCAAAAAAGAAAAGGTAGTTTTCCACCTGCTTGAAATCGTGTGATAGCTAGGGGATTCAGGCGTCGTGCAATTTACCACATACATCTGATAATGGGGCGAGCTTTTAGTGCCTCTGTGCAAAATTCATTAACACAATGAGAATTGATTCAGGAAGAACACAAGTTGGGAATTAGGAAGCTTATCACTTCTAGCTAGAGTTGGAATTGTCCGCGCACGACCAAGCAGACGAGCCTCCATCAGCTTTGTAAGAATCGATGATGCCCACAACTGCGCCATACGTGCCAGCGATCATCATAAAAGTGCCAGCCACTATTACAAAGACACTCCAAGCAACCATGAGACGCCAGCGTAAAGTAGGGCCCTCCTTACGAGCCCAGTTGTCGAAGAGCCACATGCATCCCATAGGCTGGAATGATAGCAGCGTGCCGAATAGCGCTCCGGAAAGAGAGACGATGCCATTGAAGACGGGAATTGCACTCGCAAGGATGTAGGCCAGGAGACAGACACCAAGGTTGCAGCCTAGCCATGTGGCCCAATGTACAAATGAGTTGGATGCGAGGTGCTTCGAATTGCGCAGAAAGCGGACGAAGAGATATTTGCTCGATACCTTCGAACTTAGTTAGCGGAAACTTCTCTGTCAGAGAGCAGGGGGAAGATTTACATGAGCAAGAAGCACGCCGCTGACAAGCAGTCCAGGGAACGCAATACCATACGAAACCTTCTTAATAGTCACACCGGCAGATCCAAGAGCAGGCGAGGCAACATAAGATCCACAATAGTAGTACACGACGATACCAACAGTCAGGAATATGATGGTAACGACTGTTTGGCAAAGTGCTAATGCCCGGGGATAGAGATGGGGGTCTCTCATCTCAGATACAATGGGAAAGAAGGCACCTGTGCCGGCATACGCAAAAATGAGCGTCGACACGGCCGAGACGGCCTCGGAAAAGCTTGGGTTGCCAAAGAGTCTGTAGTCAGACTCCCAATGGACATCCTTGGGAGCGTTTGGGGGCTGATCTTGGAAGCTCACAGCGATGGTCACGGTTAACACTGTGAAGTCTGTCAGCTAATATGCGAATAGGCGGCCAAACGTGGGACGAACTGACCTGCAGTAATGATGCAAACGACGCCAACTATCGCGAGCCAGGTGATGCGGCCGAGGGTGCGAATGCTCGCCAAGATGAAGATCAGAACAAATGCGACGGCGACGAAGACGGCGGTGCAAGCGCCATGGTCCGAGAGGGCGTTGAGACTGATCGAAAGACTCAACATCGCCGAGCCAGCCGTCATCACGTACTCTTAAGACTGTTAGTCCCAACATTTCGATCGAGACTCATCTATGAAAATACTCACGGCCCATAAAAGCAACAGCGAACAGTTCTTTTCCGATACGACCAAACATCAGCTGCCCGGCGTCATCGACGCCATAAACACTGCGATGGTTGACTTTGAACACTCCCACGATGTAGTTCGACCAAGTGGGGATACCTGCAATGGTGCAGAGTATTATTGCCCCGGGGATCAGTCCCAGTGTGTCGAAGACGGCCGGAAATGACAAGACCCCAAGACCAATCTGAGTCTTCATCATCAAGCATGAAGTTCCAAACCATCCGACCTACGAGTGTGTCAGTAGGCCAAGATACTGAGGAGGGAGAGAATGATGTTTACATCACGGTAATTTGGCCCGTCCTTGGACATATCTCCGAAGACCGCGTCATGTTCTCTGTCTGTCAACGTCTCACCCACGCGCAAATCCTCAGGATTGCCGTGGATGTCGGTCGACGATCCCTTCACGTCTTTCGTCATACTATTAAAAGATTCACGCCAATAGATTTCTAGATTAATGAGTGTCAACACAAGGAACGTAAAGCAACCTGAAGACGTCTCATTATTTCTTTTATAAAGGACCCTTGCCCTCAGTTTACCCGTTTTCGGTACCTGATGCAGCCGGGGTAAGGGAGCTCGTGGAAGACTGCCAGTTTTGTTGTGATAACCAGCTACCCCGGATTTTGAGATAAGTCATGTTGCCGGTGGGCTTGCTTCGCGGTCTCCGCCACTCTCCCGTACTCCGCGCGCTTGTACCCCGCGCGCTTCGCCGCATTTTCAACAGGCGGTAGCCATCAGCGGTGTGTGTATCTCCTCGGGATGTTACATACCATAGCTGGCTTGTCTCATCCTTCCGCGGGGTTGCCACGAGGCGTCCGTCTGGCGACAAAATGACATGGCCTGCTTTGGATTTCAGACCTTATTGGCCGTCGTCACATCCCACATGCCGAGCGGTTTTGTCATACGATGACTGGACTGTTTGATGCAAAAGAGTCCTACGTCAAGAGCGGTGTTGATCAGTAGTCTACAAGTCAAAGTCAGACTGTCCAGCTATGATACTCGCGTTCATCAGCCTATCCATCATACTATTTCACATCCTCCAAGAATCAATGGCAAAGTTCCATCCAATTTGAAAAGCGCGTCAGATTGTCCGCGAGGGCAACAGGGTTCCAACACGGGCGGGGTTGCTGATTTGCTGTTATTATGAGTGACATACAACCGAAGCAACTCGACGTAGAAAAAGAAGGGGGGGCATAAGCCCGTCTGATCTCTGCACACTTTGTATCATTATTCACAGCACTTTCATATAGGAGTGAATTTCCTGTTGTTCTCCCTCGAGTGGTCACAGCAGAGGTGCTGGGTCTGAGTGCAATTAGCTCGAGACGCCCAACCTCCGAATGGTTTTTGAGGAGATATTTACAGCTCTAGAGGCATGAAGCATGATTCCCAGCAGTCTTCTTTTGTCATATTTGTGGCTTTTGTGTGATAGCTTGAACCCTGTTCATGACCCCTTTTCAACTCGTCGTCAGCCCTTCCCGAATCTGATGCTCTTCAATGATCTGCTGCAGCGAGACAGGTCTGATAACCTCCACAGAGAGCCCCAGCTGGCGTATCGCATCACCATGGCACCGAATAAGAGTTGGATCAATCAATGAGCTTTGCACAACAACTTTGCCGTGATGATGCCGGAGGGCGACCGCTTCCAAAGCTTCGGTCACCGTAGACCCCAGAGGAAGCTCTAACGTCCCCCGCACCGTGATGAAGGCCGATTGCCCATCCCGAGCTTTCTGGTAGCGGAACAGCATCGCCACGCCTTGCCTGCCATTCCATAGTTCCATCGTCTCAAGCTTCGGCATCCTCAGTGCAGCACCCGCGGCGTTGCGCAGTATGCTGTTGATGCCTTCGAAGTCCGCATCTCCAGTGAGTGCCCTCGCTGTTAAAGCTAGACGCGTGAGATTTCTCCACTCGAGTAAAAGCTTTTTGCTCGCCCAGAAGAAGCAGCTAGCATTGACATTGTATGAGGCTGAAAGCTCCGTGAGTTGCACACTAGCTCTCGCGAGTTTATGGCTTACAACAGGACTCGGCACCCTGATGGAGGGGCAGGAGGGAGAGCTTTCTGGGTACGCCTCATTGAAGTTTTCGAAAATTGTCAGCTTCGATAGTTTCGTCTTGTGAAGCGAGTCAATGAATTGCTGGGTAACTGTCAGGTTTTGATTAGCGAGCCGAAGTCATATTGTGTTAGCACGACACCAACGTTGATCATTTAGTTGCTGTGACTGGCTCCATTCTCTCCAAGGCTCGTAGCAAAGCTCCTTCATGTTGGGGAAGCGCGTGAGCATGTTTGTGAGGGTGGCTGGCCACCATTGTCGGCGGGTTTGCTGGCGGAGGAGCACGACCGTGACCAAGCTCTGGAAAGCATACACTATCAGATTATCATCGGCTGGGTTTTCGCCGAAAACGTCCACGTCCTCGTCCTCGCCCTCTTCGTTGCCATCTTCCTCGACCTCTAGTGGGCACTTGTGACAATGGTAACGCTCCAGTTCCACGCGAAACCATATGTAACGGATGAGACTTCTCTTGCGGAAGAAAATAGCAGTAGAGTTAGGATCGAACAGGCACGATGGCGTTAGGCTGATCTCGGCAAAAATAAGCGGTTCGAAGAAGGAATGCCATTCTCGCGAAATAGTCGCAAGCTGGCTGTACTTAGCGCCGTGGGGACCCGACAGAATGCTGAGCACCTCATTCCGGAGTTCGGGAGGAAGACGAGCCCAGGAGCTATTGGCGTTGGACATCTCGACGATAGCGACGGCGACCGACGACGTTGCAATTTGCCTACGTAGCAAATAGCGAAATGAAGAAAAGTGTAGGATGGGCTTCGTCTTTGCCACTCAAAGATGGTACTTTACGCCCTGTTGCCGCAAGAATTCATCTGCTGTGGGCTATGACTGAAAATGTCCTTGGTGATGCCCTAGGTCATAACAACCTTGAGGTACATCGTAGGAAGTGGCCATCTTCTTCGTCAGTGGATCATATCACATGTCAAGTATTCAGGCCATGAGGCTATTTCCAAATAACCTTCCATCTCCCCTGCAAAACACAGACATCCTCGTCTGCCCTTCATAATCGTACTTGAATAAAGTAAAGTTTGAGACCTGCGGGTACTGAGTCGCCTACCACTGTATTTTAGGTCCTGCCGAGGTTTGCTGAAGGTAGAATATGATATCGAGAACCACATAAGCCATCTGATCTCTGCATGAGGATTGAAGCGGGGGACTTCATGCAGCTCTCGCCATAGATCTTGTGTTCATCTGAAAGCTCAGGTTCAACCTGCAGACATATGGGACGAACAGTCTCCAACCTGTTGAGCATGAATATGAAGTGGGATGTTGTGTTTGCTTGGTATTGCTTTTAGATTGCGCCCAATCGCGTCAGGTCTACGACGTTTGACAAGCGCCAATACGACAGCATGTCTGGGTCAAGATGATCGCGATCTAGTTCGTCTATCAACAGTTGCCTCTCTATTCCAGTGTCCATCCGCTGCGACCACCTCGTGTCTATAGAGGTCCACGCCTATGAATCTTTTCATAAAATTGTTCTGAAATGCAAAATGTGCATATTTCCCTTCTCCCCTCACATCAGCACTCGAAAAATTGACCAAGCGGACATCGAGACAGCCTCCTTTTCGATCATCACCCTCCTGACACGCCGAACCTTCAAATAGAGTAATCCAACTTTCCGTCCCCAAGAACACCCCAAAATTCCTCAACAAGCTCCTTCTGCCCGCTCGGCGCCCCCCTGACGGCGAGGTAGACCCTCTCATCGACAGCAGGCTCCCACACACCCGGGTTTCCACCGGCCATGATGCCCCCCGCCTCGTTCAGAATACACCACCCGGCGCAGACATCCCACGCCCAGCACCCGCCCTCCCAGTACGCATCCAGCTGCCCTGCCGCAACGGCCGCGAGGTTCAGCGCCGCGGACCCCAGCGCGCGCATGGAGTGCACCATCGCGCCGCCGCTCTCCTTCGTGGCCGCGAGCTTCTTGAACGTCTCCGCCTTGAGCTCGAAGTTGGGACCGTCGCGCGTGGACCCCCACTCGCACGCGAGCAGCGCGCTGTCGAGGCCGCGGAGGGGCACCGGGGACTTGGCGAGGGGCAGGCGCTGCTGGGCGCCGCCCGCGCGGCGCATGAAGGCGCCCTTGCCCTTGACGGCGGTGTACCACAGGTCCTGGAAGGGGTTGTAGATGACGCCGACGACGGGGACGTGGGCGACGGCGAGGCCGAGGGAGATGCAGGCGTCCGGGAAGGAGTGGACGAAGTTGGTGGTGCCGTCGATGGGGTCGACGACGAAGGTGGGCTCGGGGCCGAGGCGGGTGCCCTTTGTGTAGGTTTCTTCGCCCATGAAGGAGATGTTGGGGTATGTCGTTTGGAGGCGGGTCGAGACCATCTTCTCGACGGCTTGGTCTGTTTCGGTGACGATGTCGACGGCTGGGAGGGGTCAGTTAGCTGGGATTCGGAGCTTGCGTGATAATGCTGCGGGATGAGAGGCGAGCTCACAGTTGAGCTTGGTTCCTTGATCGATGGAGGACGGGTTCGCGGCCATGATCATCTTGCCCGCCTCGCTGGCGATGTCGACCAGGGTGTCGTGGATCTCTTGGAGATTGAGGTCCGCCATCTTCGCTGCTTATGTCTGTAGCTCCTGAACACGAATGATTCCAATTGCGCCGGTTCGTCTTCGTCTTCGTGGGCGTGTGCCTGGTGAGGAGGATTGTCTCTGTCGATCACTGTTTTTTTGGAGTCTACCTTAAGGCGAGCTTTGGAGGGGCAGAGGGGGAGGGGAACGGAATGATGGCGGGGTTTGGAGAATGAGGTCACAGCTTGGGGGGACTGTGGGGAACTGCCAACGGGCGGCTCTCACCCTTCCTTCAATGTCAACCCCGGCACGGTTGTCAGGTCAGGCTCTTCTCGGGAGGGTCTTGGCGGGTTCGGATCAGGCGGGCGGGCAGGGACCCGGAGAGACGTCGACCAATCGCCGCCTGCGGAAGGAGCATGCGACGGAGGTTCACATCAGGCGACGGGAAAGGAAAAGCTGTGGTTGTCCCCAATGTTCAGAGAGAATTCCGTTACATTGCGGCAGTAAGGTATCCACAGATTGGGTGCCCGGTGGGATGCCGGGAGCGGCATGTCCGGCGTTCGTACTCTTCCGGAGAGACACTACGCAGGGAGATCAATGGCGGGCTAGTTTGTCGATCACGGCTTATTGTAAAATTTTATTGCTCTCGCAGAGAATAAGCTCGATGAAAAAAAGAACGAAAAGACCCAACGCCGTGGGTTCCGGGAAAACAATATTGCACATCCCATTCGTGACATGTCCGGTGCCCTGCCCGTCCTTCTGGCCCGCTTTCCTTACATCATATCTCCGTAGGATTGCCCAAAGGCAAGCCGACCTCCCATTCCGCTCGATCATCCTCCTCCGTTATGACTCGGCTGTAATCGTTCTGTTTTGTCGGGCCCTTCTAGAGACCGCCATTTCTACTTGTATCCATCGCCTGACTTGCGGCGGCGCATCTTGTTGGTCGCAGTCTTCTTATACGTTCTCTCTGAAAATGGACCTCCGTTCTGTTGGGCTCTCGCCGTTCTCCTTGGGCTGTTGCTGCGGCGCAGTATCGACCATTGGCCGCGGGCTTACGCCGCGGAGGCTGATGTTGCTTGGCTCCGCGTCGTCGTCGAAAGGATTCCTGCCTCCCTTGGGTACAGTGAGGTCGTCACCGGGTCGGCTGAGGCTGCGACCCCTCGCGGGCTCATCATGAACGTTGGGGGTAGCGGCCATGTTCATGTTGTAGCTGTCGCCTCCGCCAGCGCCGCCCCGGTAGCCAAGCTCCTGCTCTTCATAATTGCCGTAGGGTCCGTAGGTCTCTGCCTCGTGGCCGACGCGAGTATCCCAAGCCTCATCGGGGTCGAGGGGTCCGAAACCTCGACGGGGTGCACCGGCCGAGGGCTGCTCGTAGGCGCCAGCGGCGGATCGGTTGTTGCGGTTCTTGAAGCCGGTGATCTTGTCGTTGAACCAGCCGACGATGCCGCTGGGCGCAGGGCGCGGGGGTCCGTAAGCTGGTGGTTCGGATTTTCGGAATGGTATGTACGAAGAAAGCGAGGGCGGCGGAAGCTATCGACGAGAGATTAGCAGGGAAAGATTAAAGCAGTGCGGCCATTGACTCTGCTTCAGAGCAAGGAACGGCGATGCGAAGAGGAAGGCTTGACTTACGCCCAGTCTGCGGGCGCGCAGCTGAGTGAAGATGACCCAACCGACTCCAGCGACAAGCAGTAGCACCAGGATGGCGATGACGATGCCTCCAGCGGCGTTCACCATGGCTGCAATTGAGATGCGACGGACGTCGTCGTCTTGAGTAGGGTTATCGGCAGGAAGTCCTCAATGATGTGTGGTTGGAAGTCTCCGGTGTGCGATGGAAATCCGGCTCATGGGACAAGGTGGTCGTGGGTGGTCAGCGGCAATGGTGTTCGTCGCAGTCGCAATTGTCGCCGGAGCTGTGGCTGTGTGTGCGGGAGAGCGACGGGACGGATAATGGAGGAAAAGCGCGCGCGAGGGCTCGAGGAACCTGGAAAGGCACGAGTACGGCGCAGGCAAGGCAGAGAAGCGGAACAGAAAAAAAGTAAGATGAGTTGGTAAAGAACGCAAAGCCCGGCGAAACCTTGTTTGACAGACAGGTGAGGCGGTGCGCAAGGCCAGGTCAGCACCCAAGCTTGAGTCGGTGTTTCCTTGCTTGTAGGTGACGGAACTCAGCTGCCAGTTGGGTGGTGAGTGAAAAGGCAACCTAGACGGTGGTGGTGGTGGTGGTACGAAGACAGACGGGATAGGCAGGATGACGAGACGATGGAGGAGGAGCAGCAGCAAGGCAAGCTCGGGCAGGCTGCATCTGCAAGTTGGTGGAGGATGCGCAAATAGCGTCGTCGGGTGCCTTTTGGGTGCGAGGCAGCTGCCAATTACAGCGATGCCCGGTTTCTCTAGCTCCGCGCGCTCCGTCAGCGTTGCTGCATGGAAGTCGGACTTGCTGCTGCTGCTGCTTCGAGTCCACTTCAGCTAGGTAGGTTCTCTGTGTCTGCCTGTCTTCTGGGGGCCATGCCATGGGCATTTAGGCTTAGGCTCCCCCGAATCAGGCGTGCCGCACCCGACCTCCACTCCCACAGAGCTTGGCCAACAGCTTGTTGCTTTTTCAGTGGATTACTAAGGCCGCAAGTGGTTCAGTCGTTTCTTCCGTCGTTCCCCTCCATCTTTCTGGGGTTTCCTCCCCGTCAGGCTGGTGCTGGTGCGCTTTGGTGGTGAAGTGGTGCCCAATCATGTCATGGCCGTCACTGACAACGAACGGCACCGCGCGCGGGCGGGTGCTAAGACGGCGCACATTCCATCCAAGGCCCCGACGGAGCGCATTCATTGTCGAGGGCCACGAGGTCCAGGTCCGGCAGCAGTGTCCCGGGACACCGGTTCTGCCTGGCCGGGACGCACACAGCGTTGGTGAGGACCTCTACATACCTTACCTAGCATGTAGGTACCTACTCTCCCACAATGACGTGCGTACCTTACCTGGGCCCGCCCGCCCGTTCGTTCTTCGAGGGCTTCCGTGCCCGCCGCACCTTGGTCCGCTTGCCCCCGTCCAAAATGTTTTGGCCAGCCGGGAAACGAAACCAGCTTTGAACCCCTGCTCGCTGCCTATCGCTCCATTTTACCAAGTGTACGATGCACGTAGCATGGCTTTGTCCCTATTCATAGCGACTCCCCCTTGCAGTTGAGACAACTATTCAACCACTTCCCCAATCCATCCCCCTGAACGGACTCTCACGCACATCATGATGCTGCATTTTTGGTAGCTGCGCTTTGGACTGCGGGTTGGGTAATTGTGACAACTGTCAGATACGGCCTTGGCTTCACGCTTCGCACGCTAGTTGTTCGCCCTCTGACTTTTTGCTGGAAACAATTGCCCCCAAGCTTGCGCAACCCGCTGCTGCAGAGAGAGATCGGACCCCTGTCACTGAAACCTAGCGCTCCCAATCAAACACTTGACACTGACAACTCGGCACCTCTATTGCGGCACTTGGCTTGGCGATCGTATCCTCTTCTCTATTGTGGCTGATTAATAGTCTACCTGTTCTCCTTTCCTCTAGACAGGAGTGCCCAAAATGCAACCAAGGAAGCCTATTCTTGGGTATCACACGAAACATTGGTCCCAGAGTCCGCCGCTCTTCGCGAACGTCTGGCTGTTGACAAAAGCGTCCAGCTTGCATCGTCCCAGCTCGTCTGCACCGCAACCGTTGAGCGGCACCACTCTGTCGTTGACCAGGATCCGAACCAGCTCCTCGTCCGATCCGCACTTCATCTTTTCAACGTACATGCGTGCTGCAAAAGGCACCGTCCAGCTGGCCGTGAAGCCCTTTGCATCCTGCACCGAAGTCCGCTTCGTCTTGTCCAGCGGCGCCGTCGAGTTGTAGAGCCCGAGCGCTCCGTAGATGCTCATCATGTCGTTGTCGTGACTGAAGTCGGCGTAGAGCACCTTGTCGAGCGGGAACGACACGGGGTCGGCGTCGAGAGTCGAGTTGGTCGACGTGTGATCCACGACGGGCTGCTTGGTCAATCGCGCGAGCAGCTCGTTGGTGAAGCCGACACCCTGCGTCGGACCCATAGGGTTGCCCGCGTTGAAGCCGTAGTACTTGCCCAGAGTCTCGTAGTACTCGAGGTCCTTCCACTCGTCCAACGTGAAGAGGTCGCAGAACTGAGACTGTGTGCCGTTAACCACAGTGTTGAATGGGCACAGCTGCATGAAGCTGACAGCGTCCTCGGATGTGAAGTTGACACCAGGCAGGTTCGTGTTCAGACGGCTCACAATGGGGGCTGTGAATGTGTTGCGCCAGTCAACCTGAGCGTCATCACCGACCTTGGAGAAGTTGCCTGACTCGAACGCCGTGCAGAGACTGTGGTCCAACGTGTTGTTGAAGCCCTCCTGTTCAGGGATGACCATGATCTGTGAGTTGATTCCTCCATCAGGTCCGTTGTGACCATCTTGGATCTTGGCTCCGAAGAAGCCAGAAGTCCAGTTGAGACCAGACTCAACGACGCGGTTCTGGCCCGATGATCTTATGAACGGGTCCGCGCTGGCGGCCAAGGACTGGTAGCGTTTGTAGAAGGCCTCTCCCGACTCGACAAGCTCGCGCTGGCCGAAAGGAGTGAGCTCATCAGCACCGAGAGTGTACTGGTAGTCCTTGATGAACTCAAAGCCCTTTCCGTACTGAGTGGCGGTTTGGTGGATGCGGTCGACGAGTGCCTTGTAGGTGGCCGTCTTGCCGGAGGTGGGGTCCCGAGCGCCGTGTCGGTGAAGCACCTGCGCGAAGGTGATCGTGCATCCGTCGGGGGTGGCGGCGCTGATCTCGGACGGCACCGAGAAGAAGGGAGAGTACTGGCCCCAGAACTGAGAGACCTCACCAGTGGCGTTGTCCGGCTTCTGGCCGCTGACAAGGCTGCTATCGCGTTAGGATGCTTTTCGACTCTTTGATGAGATATGAACTTACCTGAAGCCAGCGACCAAGGTGAGCAGAGCGGCGAAAGACATGGCTCCCAGGATGAGCAAGGCAAGTGTAGGCTTCGGTTGACGCCGGTAGGGTTCGTACTCCGTCTCGGTGCCTGCTCTGTCCTCGTCCTCCGGGATGGAGCTGTACTTATGTGTCTTGCCCACGAAGAGGCCCCTCACGGACTTGTAGGCCGAAGTGGCGGCATCGGAGAGTCGACCCATCGCGGCAAATAGAAGGCAGGTGCCAGGAGGAGAAAGATGGAAATTAGAGTGCCTGGGTGGTTCCCCAGGTCAGTGAGCTTGCGTACAACGTAGGGTCCGCCCGCTGCAGCATCCCTGTTCCCCTCGTTCGGGGGTTCTTTTTGGGCGTATGCGAGTGAGGTGTGATGCAAGGTGGGTAGAGAGGCTAACGGGCTAAGAAGCGAAGTTGTCTCGTGTGTCTGGTTTTCCGCCGGTTGAAGGGGGTTTCCCAAGGTGCGGAAGGTGGATTGGAAACAAACGGCAGTTGCGCGGTGCTTTTCAGGGGATATATTCTGGGAGAACCCCTGGTTTTTTTTCCTCAAGCCATGCAGAAAAACAGACGGGAGTGTTTGCTGATGAAGGACGGCGGCTGTGCGACGTTTCCTTAGCGATGTCGAGTTTCAACCTTCAACGGGCACTTAAGCACAGCTGGATGCCACCGGTTGGCGGTCGGAGCGTCTTCGGGGGCTGGCGGGGGAAGGTGGGAGGTCGGGCGGACATTAGACCCAAACGTGGACAGGCACGGCGTGTCTTTGGGGCAGTCACGTGGGTCGACGCGACGTTGGAATTGGAACAAGCTTCGCGATCGCCTTCCCTGCAGCTCCCCCCCCCCTAAGGCCCCCTGTAGTTCCACCTCCGAAATACCTCACAGCGGCTCTTCCCTTCTTCATGCCGAACAACCCGTGCCAAGTGCCGCTGATAGGTCGCGACCGGGGCCCGGATGGACGATGGACGACTGATTCGACGCGCGCCATCCCGGAAGTTGACTCAGGATCTTTTGCTGTCGATTCAGAGAGCACGTGCGATTCTAGGATTGACCTACACTATCGAAACTCTCATACGCACTGGGTCCGGACCTGATCTACGAACTATGTTGGGATTACTGACTGGAGAGTCACAGTAATAGAGAGGGCATATCAGGTTGCGGAAAAGTTGAGTTTGTGCGGCAACTGACTTTGCTTCAATTGTCCCACAATGATATCCGATCTGCGAAATATTTCTACCAGCGAACGACAGTCATAGTGCTTCCTAGGCCTCCTCCATCGCGCGACGAGTCTCAAGTGCGCAAGATCTTCTTTCCATCCTGGAACAGCTTGATGTCATTCTTCAGCATTTCGCGAAGGCTCTTGCTGACGGCATCTTCACCCGCTACCATGTCCAACTGTTCATTCGTCATGCCAAATATGCGATTGGGACACAAGACCCCAAGGGGGCCGTCCTCGGAGCCGAGAAGAAAGTAGTCCACGACTTGGGTGCAAGTCATATCCGAAAACCGAGCGCTAGCGATGTCATAGTAACTTCTCAGGACATCGTGGATGGTGCAGCAAGTCTCGTTGAGACCCTCGGCCTCAGTTGTCTCTCGCTTCAGGTCCTTCCACATGACGCACTCGAGGGACTCTTCTCCATTCTGCACAGTAATCTTCGAGTCCTCATACTTGCTCGCCGATCTCATCGTCTTGACCTGGTTGAGGGCTCTGTCGAAGGCGGGATTGTAAGTGATGGATCGTCCCTCCCGCTCCACGTGGATCAGCAACTTCGCCTGATCCATGGCAACCTGGTACCGCTTCACGAGTTCATCCAAAATAGAGCACCAGAGTGCGTCGCGGACCTGAGAGTCTACACACGCCTCCTTCACCACGCTGTAGATGAAGTGGTGAACGATGAGAATCATGTTGCTCACATGAGCCAGAGTCGTGGCCTCCCACTTGGTGGATTGCTCTTTGAAGGCAGTGGGCAGCATGTGACTGCTGAACTGCAAAGCTGTCAGCTGGTTCACTTTAAAAGAAAATCAACACTTCATGTACTTACGGTGCCCAGCTCGTAGCCCCGAGAGGTCAGATACAACTGCTCGAGATGCTTCATGATGCCACTGTTTCCAGGTTTGGCGCATTTGCAAGCCTCCGTCAGCACCCCATCGAGTTCACCAGATTCGTCAGGAGGGATCGAGAATGAGAGAGGGTAAAGGTCGTTCCTGCTCGCGTCATCGTCATCGTCAGACTTCTCCGATGACTCGTCCGAGTCGTCGCCTTCGACTTTGCTCGCAGCAGGATCAGCAAACTGCCGAGTGTGGGCGTTCTGAAAGAACATTTTGGAGAACGCTGTGTTGGCCTCTCGGACTCGTGTGGCCAGCCTCAGGTCGGGGCGCTTGTCGAAGAGCGGGTCTCCGGTGTAGTAGGCGTTCAGACCGAAGTTCTTGAGTTCAACGAAACGGCTCACAATCTCGCCGAGGAACCGTCTCTGTTCATCTGCGGTGCTTCTGGGTTGACCAAGAGCCGCGAGCTGTTTCTTCGCATCTGCAAGGCGCTCGTTGATGTCACGCCTAACCTTGGGAAACTCGCTCTTGGTTCTGTCCATTAGCAACTCCCGCAGGCGGCTACGAAGTGCGGGGACACCAAGCCGGGACTTGTCAAGCCTGCACCAAGGTTCTTCGTCGAAGAAGAATTTCTCTTCAAAGTCACGCTCATCCTTACTTGACGAAGTGTCGTCAGCACCGCGGTTCTTGACAACGTAGTAGCCCAGCTGAATGTCGCGCCGCTTGCCTCTAATGAGGTCCATGGCCGCCTCTCGAGTGGCGTTTTCTCTGACGAGATCCGGCTTCGTTAATACGCCCAGGGTACGCTTGCCCTCGGGGTCTGCTTCGGCAGCATAGGTGAGAATAGTCTGCGTAGCAACATCCACATTGCAAGGGATCACGGCAAGGATGCTGTTGATGTTAGCCAGTACCATTGCGGTATAGGGAAACACGTGATAGTACTCACATGGTCCTGGAATCCTTGATATAATCCTTCACCATGGATTTGACAAGAGCAACATCTCTGGACGTGGAGAAGCCCTCCTGGACGTTCTCAAAGATGCCTTTGAACAAGTTAGTTGATGGCAGTACCAATGAGAATCAGGACCTTGCAACGTCACAAATATGTCGAAAAAAAATCAACAGCAAGGGAAGTCGGGCCAAGGGCCCAAATAGTGAAGGCAACAAACAGAGACATGGGTAAACGCGAAACAAGGGACCAGACCACGCAGTCCTCACTTACCCGGGACGTCGATAATCGTAAGATGCTCCTCGTCTGGGCCACAAATCTCGACACGAAGGATATCCTTGCTGAAGGCATCGCCCTCAGAGGAACCATCGGTGGTTGACTTCAATCCCATGACAGTAGAGGCCTAGTGGGAAAAACAAATTTTAGCAAATACTCAATATCCAATGCTCTCCTTCAACTCACCATCTGGAGAACCTCCGCAAACTGTCCTCCCCTGAGGTCTTGAAGCACATGTCTGAAGGACTTGGCGAGCTCAGCCTTCTGAGTGGTGGCATCGAAGGGATGAATGGTCACGACGATGCTAGTTGTCGGTTCTCGACGACAAACAATCTCGGTGGCGTGGCGGGTGCAGAGTCCGACTGATCGAGGGAAGTAGTATCCGGTCAAGCTCTCGAGAACACTCGACTTTCCGGAGGACTGGTCTCCAACGACGACAAGCTGAGAGAAGAGATAACGCGTCAGATGGTGACCAATTCGTTTGATCGGGGCTCATACCTGTGGAAGAGGAACCTGCTTGGAAATTCCCAGCTCTCTGAGCTTGTCGATCTTGTCCAAGAGATGGCGATTGCCCAAGCTCGTCTGGGGAGTCGACTGAACGGGAGCCATGGTGATGCTTCAACGATGAGATGTGGACTTGGGTTGACTGAGCAAAGCTTAGGTGCGATGAAGTCGAAGAGGAAGATGGGATGGAGGAACACGCCAGGAAATAAGAGAATGACATGCTAGCAGATTTTACTTGCTAGAGGCCCGTCAAGTTGCGTTTTACTGCATGTCTGCCTCCTGTCTTTCATCGGATCATGTCCGATGCCGCAGCCTGCTTTGAATGCAGGCGCGCGTGTGGTAACAAACAAAGCCTGCTTTTAGAAGTGCCCCATCCTTGTCTACGTCGGTTGAGGTAATCAAGCATAAGGCATCAAGCACAAATTTTGGCTTAGGGTTTCAGTTGGAAGGATGGCCTAGAACTGATTTCTTTCCACGTCACGATGCAGATGCTCCCTCATCAATCTTTCTTGATGTACCAGCAAGGCTCATCCTAAGATGCATGGGTCCTGAATCAGGAAAGAGATCCAAACGCCTCACCGCAATGAGGACAAACGGTTCGCGAGACCCGGGCCGGGGACACTAAGGCAGGAAGCGACATCATCGCCCTAGGACATCGGCAGACCAAAGGATCAGCAAAGAAAGAGGAGAGAAAAAAGAAATCCGTGGTTCGAGTTGCGTAGCTTCATGACGCAGTGGCAGGCGAGGAAGGGCAGTATAAAGGCAGGCCTCGAGAGGATCATACATATTTGGGTTTGATCACGTTGAACAATGTATGCTGGATGTACAAGTTCAAGGTTTACCTATTGATTGAGATTTTTAAAACAAAAAAAAAAGGACTTGAATCACAAAAGGTTCGATTCGAACCCCAACAAGCTGGATTATTGTGTATTATCCAGGGCGCTTGCACTGCTGCTGACCTGACCACTGGACCAATTGGCCCCGCTCGCTGTTGACAACAACCAGGCGGAACTTCAACAAATAGTCTGCCGCAGTGGAAAGGCAGGAAGGAATCTTTGAAGGGTCGAAGTTTCCAAAACACGCAGATTTCCGTTGGTGCTGCGGTAGGAGGATCCGCCAAGGACAGGATTGAGCTACGCCGTTTGCAAACCTACTCCTCAGACGTCCGCTGGAAATTGCCATAATCCAGGTGACCTTCGTTCCATTTTATGAAGCTTTTTGGATTTGCGGCGCAGGTATATTGATATTCGGGAACCATATGTCCAGTCCGAAGACATGTCGTCGGATTTGAGCCGAGAGGCACGAAAATTGTTAGTGCATGCCACCTAAACCCACCACACCAACTCACAACCTGACACCTTCATCTCACTCTCATCATCACTGAAGTCTCAAATAAAACGGCTACATGCTGAAATATTTTGCTCGAATTGAGCCCGGTTCTATCAAACTTCCCTGGATTTCTCACACGATCTTCACAATCCTTAGCGGTCATGGCTGTTAAAGCCCTCATCTCCACTCTGGAGGATGAAATCCTTGATCCTGAAGAAGGTACATCTTGACGATGATTGCCAATACATATCCTGAAGATTTTAAGCTTACCAGCACACTTAGAAACCTTCTTCCTATTCTCTCACGATATCCCCTCCTCAAACCTGGGCTTTATCGACCCCAAAGCGACGACGCTATCGCTTACCTTGGCGGACCGGGACTTCACCATCCACCAATCTCCCACAGTTCTTTCATCAACCCGGGCAGGCGGCACGACCGGCGCTGGTAAGTTGATCTCATACAACAACTGTTTTTTCAATCAATAAATACCAAGAGAACTCCCATCTCACTCCTCATAAAAACCATCAAATCTGGCATAACGTGCTAACATACCCTCTCAATAGTCCTCTGGAAAATCACCCCCCTCTTCGCAACCTACCTCTCCTCCCCAACGTCCCCCTTCAACTCCATCTTCACACCCACCTCCACAGTCCTAGAACTAGGCTGCGGCATCTCCCCCTTGACAGCCCTCCTCCTCGCCCCCAGAATATCCCGCTACATCCTCACAGACCAGCCCTACGTCTCGCGCATGATCCACCAGAACCTCGAGGCGAATCCCCTCCCATCCTCCTCCGCCGCTTCAAAACCCTCCTCCCGTCGGAAAAAGACCACTTCTACTGCCACCTCAACATTCCCAGGCCCTGGAAGCATACAATTCACGGCCCTGGATTGGGAACTCGACACCCCGACACCCTCCCTCACAGGCTCACCCGCGACCCGCTCCTTCGACGCCGTCGTGTGCTGCGACTGCATCTACAACGAGGCCCTGGTCGACCCTCTCGTCTCCACGACCGCCGACCTCGCTCGGCTCCGCCTGCGCGTCCAGGAAGAGGAAGAGGAAACCGACGCGGAGGAGGCGGAGCGGTCCGAGCCGTGCGTTTGCATAGTGGCCCAGCAGCTACGTAGCCCCGACGTGTTTGAGGAATGGGCCAAGAGCTTTCATAAGCAGTTCCGCATGTGGAGGGTCCCGGACGAGTTGTTGCCCGAGGGGTTGAGGATCGAGTCTGGGTTCGTGGTTCACGTGGGTATCTTGCGAGAGTCAAAGTTTGAACTTTGATATGATGCCTTAGATGCATCTCACGATATTTTGAGTGATGAGATTGGTGTTGGAACGGCGCAAAAGCTCAGTCTTGCGAAAAGCTGTGTTGTGCTGCACATCTACCCTACATCGATATAGAAAAACTTTTTCTCGGCTTCATACAGAAAGCCACATGACCAAATCCCTTGTTTGATTTCCCAATCGCCGCCGCCAGCATATGAACATGCTCAAAAAGCCAATTGAACCCATCGTATCGTAGACACGTTAACTTTAAAAGTCAAAACTCCAGATTACCAGTCCATTTTTTGTTTGTTTTGCTTTCTTTCTTTTTTGCTTTACCACTCAAGAGGCTCAGTCTTGGTCTCACCCCGGTTAGTCTTGGGGACGGGAACCGCCTTGGCGAGGAGCTGGCCCGTCTTCGGGTCCCTCTTGAGGTAGGAGGTGCCATCGAGCCAGGGGGTCAGCTGGGACATGCGACGCTCGTACTCAGTGATCTTGTCGTTCATCTGCATGGTCAGGCCAATGTCGTCAAGCCCGTTAATCAGGCAGTGCTTGCGGAACTCCTCAACGTCGAAGCTGGCAAGGGTGTTGCCGGAAGCGTCCTTGATGAGCTGGTTGGGAAGATCAATCTCAATCTCCTTGCCAGCGCGGGCCTCGTCGGCAATCTTCTCCAGGACGGCCTGGTCTGGAATGACAATGGGCAACATGCCGTTCTTGAAGGTGTTGTTGAAGAAGATATCGGCGAAAGAGGGAGCGAGAACGCATCTGATGCCGAAGTCGTTCAGAGCCCAGGGAGCGTGCTCTCTGGAGGAACCGCATCCGAAGTTGGGGCCAGTAACGACGAGGATCTTGGCCGCACGGTAGGGGTCGTTGTTGAGGACGAAGTCGGGGTTCTCGGAACCATTCGAGTTGAAGCGGAGCTCGTAGAAGAGGGCCTTGCCGAGACCAGTGCGCTTGATGGTCTTCAGGAACTGCTTGGGAATGATGGCGTCGGTGTCGACGTTAGACTTTTCCAAAGGAGCGGCGATACCCTTCAGGTTGGTGAACTTGGGGAGACCAGTGGAGCTGCCAGAGGCGGAGGCGGAGGTGTTGGTGTGGGGCTGGTTGTCCTCGGGCTGATCGGCGATGGCTTCCTTCTCCTCAGAACTCTCCTCAACGCGCTCATCGACGTGGGGCTCGATGGGAGTGATGGCTGCCTCGATGTGAGGGCTGGCCTTGTACTGAGACAGTTTCCTAACGTCGGCGAGCTTGCCAACGATACCAGCGGCAGCGGCCATGACGGGGGACATCAGATGCGTCCGGCTGAGGGCGCCCTGGCGACCCTCGAAGTTTCTGTTGCTGGTGGATGCGCATCTCTCCTTGGGGGCAAGGATATCGGGGTTCATGCCGAGGCACATACTGCAGCCAGCCTCACGCCACTCGAAGCCGGCATCAGTGAAGATCTTGTCCAGACCCTCGGACTCAGCCTGGGTCTTGACGAGACCGGAGCCAGGGACGACCATGGCGCGCTTGACATTGGGAGCAATCTTCTTGCCCTTGACGACGTGGGCAGCTGCACGCAGATCCTCGATACGGGAGTTTGTGCATGAGCCGATGAAGACCTTGTCGATGGGGATCTCCTCAAGGGGAGTTCCCGCTGTGAGACCCATGTACTCCAACATTCTGCGGCCAGCAGCCTTCTTGGCCTCGGTGGGGAAGGTCTCGGGGTCGGGAACGGTGCCGGTGATGGGGACGACGTCCTCGGGGGAGGTACCCCAGGTGATGGTGGGGATGATGTCCTTAGCGTCAATGAAGACATCGATGTCGTACTTGGCGTCGGGGTCGGACTGGAGAGACTTCCAGTACTTGGTGGCGCGGTGCCACTCGTCGGAGTTGTACTTGGGAGCCAGAGGGCGGTTCTTCAGGTACTCGAAGGTCACCTCGTCGGGGGCGACCATGCCGGCTCTCGCACCGCCCTCGATAGACATGTTGCAGATGGACATACGAGCCTCGATGCTGAGGCTGCGGATAACGGAACCGCAGAACTCAATGACGGCACCGGTACCGCCGGCAGTTCCGATCTTGCCAATGGCGTGAAGAACAACGTCCTTGGAGCTGACACCGGGAGCCAGCTCGCCGTCGACTTGTATCCTCATGTTCTTGCTCCTCTTGGTGATCAGGCACTGGGTGGCGAGGACGTGCTCGACTTCACTGGTACCGATACCGAAAGCCAGGGCACCGAAGGCGCCGTGAGTGGAGGTGTGACTGTCACCGCAGACAACCGTGGTGCCGGGAAGGGTGAAGCCCTGCTCGGGGCCGATGACGTGGACAATACCCTGGCGCTTGTCGCCGAGGCCAAAGTAGGTGAGGCCGAAGTCCTTGACATTCTCCTCGAGGGTCACGCATTGCACGCGAGAGTCGTCCTCGGCGATGAAGGAACCAATGTCCTTCATGCCTTTCCGCGATGAGGTGGGGACATTCTGTTGGCGCAGAGTTAGTGATTGGGTATTTCCGAGTACTTTGCGAATCCAATTGGTTACTTACGTGGTCCGTCGTCGCCAAAGTGCAATCCGGACGGCGCACTTTACGACCGGCATTCTTCAGGCCCTCGAAGGCTTGCTGCAGGCTTTGTTAGCGAGCCGTCATGGTGGGGTCGATCAACCGACGTCATCCGAGACGCAGGGCAAAAAAAGCGTCACGTACAGGAGAGGTAACCTCGTGAACAAGATGTCTGTCTGTCGCACAACCCACGTCAGCATATTACTCCCTGAAGGCATGGCAGGCCAGGCAGTGCCGGGCTCAAGGCAAGGAAGACTCACCAATGTACAGCAGGACTGTGCCGTCGAGCTTCTCGTCGACGACATGGGCCTGGAGGACCTTGTCGTAGAGAGTCTGCGGGGTTCCTTCGGCAACAGGCATTGTGTGCGACTCGAATGCGAAAGCGAATTCCAAAAGCAGGCAGCGTCCTCACGATAAGGGACCGGTTGGTGTGATGCTCGCCCGGTGCTCTCAATCAAGTGTGGGGGGTAGGTAGTCTGGAGTCAAAAGCAGGAGAGGCTGTCGCGAGACAAGAGGCGTAAAGGGGAAGAGGGAAGAGTGTAAGAAAGAGTAGGAAATTCCTGTGTCGGAGGTCGTGGTAGGATGTGGGGGACGAGCAGCTCAATATGTATCTGCCGGACCGGGAGGCCTTCGTATCTAGCTTTCAAATAAAGGGAGCCAGAATGCTAGGTAAGGCAGGTGAGTAGGTAGACATGGAAGAGGAGGAACATGGCCAGGTACCTACTTTTGCTTCTGCGTCAGGTGCCTTGCCTCCTGTGACCTCCGGTCCAAGGTCCAGTCCAGTCTCTTAGAGTTGGCGCGCTGAATCAACAACGATACCGCAGCAGCAAGCATGGACACTACGAGCCCATTGCCCCGCGCCCTCACAAAAGTGCCCGCCATGCCAGGTACCTGACCCTTCCCAGCAAAACAAATTGGCCAAAGCCGTGAAGCTTTGGCACGAATTCTGTTCCGATCATCGGAGGCGTCAGCTCCAGCCAGCTGCGGGTCCGGTCGCCGGAACGCGGGGTACAGCGCCCTGATTTGCAAATGGCGCCCGCGGATTGGCCCGTCGCCCCCTTGGAAGCCCTCAGAGGCCCTGCACCGAGGGGTCCGCTCAGAACCTTCCAAACGCTGCCATCAACGCGCGCCGCCCCTCTACGATGAGTCTTCACTTGGGACTCCGGAGCAGTTTTTTTCTCTATTGCTACTAGGTACCTCACCTAGAATCCATAGACGGGAGCCACTGGTTGACTACAAACCCGCACGTGAGACTGCAAGAGCCCGCAATCTGACGAGTAATATGGGCTCGCAGGGGCTCAGTTCCGCCGAAAACAGCAACTACTTGAATTCTCATGTGTCCGAAGTTGTATCTCTGAGTCGGAGCGACCCAGCTGCGCCCCCGTTTCCATCCGTCGTTTGCCGTCCGCTCTTTGCCCTTGCTGCGTTGGTCTCATATGAAGATTCATGTGCGTGATCGCTGATGAGAGGCTTAAAAACCAAACGGTCCCAATCTTAATCCCGGTTCTTGCCAACTGCCTATGGATATTACTTGTCAACAACACTTGCCGGGAGTCGCAGTAACAATCCCAGCGGCACCGGCAGTGGCAGCAGGGTACGTATTCCCGTCTTGTCCTTAGACACTAGATCATTATGTTGGCAAACAGCTCTGTACGCGCGGATTAACAATCCCATCCCACATATGGATGCAACATCCGACGTTCATCGCTTACTCGATGATGACGCTGCAGAACTGCATTACAACCACCGCCGAACGCCTAGATCGGCGCCGGCCGACCAAACGGTTACGGACGGCCACTCAGCAGCCACTCGCAAGTTGCCAGCTGCCTGCCCAGCATCACATTCTCACCGCATCGGCGGCGGCTCCTGCGGTGATCCCAACACCCCGTCCCAGGCTAAACCGGAGGCCGCGACAAAACTTGACGATTACACCCGAGGTGCCGAATAGATCATGCACCTCGCACTCCCGGACGCCCGCTGCCAGATGCACAACACTGATTAATGAGTACTAGCCATGCCACATATCAATACTTGTATCCTCAATCTGCCTCAACGCTACTCGTTAGCCGTACCACTCCCCTATCCCGATGCATGCTTGTCCCGCACCGCTACCCCACACGAGCTCAAACAGCGGCCGTCAGTCTCGTATCATTGAGCACTGCGCTTTCGGCCTTGCCTTATCACCAAATCCCTCTCCCCCAACCCAGCCGATGTACGGCGTGGCAGGGCCGCACACCCAACCCGGTCCCTACTGCGCCGATCGGCGGTTGGTTGGGCTCGAACGACAAGCTTCTCTCCACAGCCTCCCTTTTTCGTCATGGTCGGCTGCCAGGAACCGAGAATCGCAATCAAACCTCCCCAGCTTGCCTTTCAAATCCCCAGGATACTTCGCATCATCCGCATCATCCATGCTATTCCCTGTGACAGCCGGATTGCTACCGCCAATAACATGAAACCGCCGATCAACGCCAGCACAAGTATTCCAACGTCCGTCCATGTGGATTTGCTGCTGTCCAGTCTCTGCCGGAGAGGCGATGTCGGAACGAAGCATGGTGATATGACTTCCCAGTACAGTTGAACTAGGCTGATCGCGAGCTGCTTGCCTTGAGTGGCGTATTTCCGTGTCTGTCTATGCCACTCCTCCCTTCGCAAACGACCTTCGATGACGCCGTCTTCGGACTTGTCGACCTCGTGGGCTGTCGACATGCTGCAACCAGTCTTCAACATGGCTGGATCGACTTGACTGACAGGACTGCGTAGCTGTGTCGTTTTGAGAGTATTGCAGACCTCTTTCTGGTTGGAATCGCACGCTTTTTTCGGACTGACGTTGACTGGCCTCGTCTGGTCGATGAGAATTTGTTGTTGTTTCTGACTGGAATGGTTCACTTCCTTCTGCTTGATCACGTCGGCTTCGTGCTGATCCGTCTTCAATCGGTATGTATAGTCGATGTCGTTCGCCCCGTCCAACTGGAGCAAGGTCCTGTTCTTCACCGTCTCCGTTTTCGCGGCCCGCATATCGTTGCTGTTCAAAACTGCCCCGCTCATGTTGCAATCGCCTCGCGTCCCTAGCCGGAGTGCCTTTGCGTCTTTGGCCATGTCCGAAACCGCGCCATTCGACATGATGTCTTTCCAAATTGCCTTGCTCTTGTTGGCTGCTCTGACGAGGTGGAGACCATTTCTCAACCTCGTCCTGAGTACGCCATCGACAGGCAAGCTCCTCAGGCTGGAAGTCTTTGAGTCGCTGTCCTTGTTCACCCGATGGTCTCTCAGAGTTTCCACCATCTTGTTGCCCGACTCGACCATTGCTATTCTGGCCGCTTCCAGGCATAAGGTTTGATTGAGGTTGCCTGGGGCGGCTTCCTTCAACTCGTTCGGGGGTGACATAGACGTGGACGTGAGTGATGTGACAGAGCTCCCCGTTGAGTTTGCCTGAGGGCTCTCGCTGGTAGGGGAACTGCTGACAGACGATTTCGCGGCCGCCTCTTGGGTCGCAGGACCTCGTAGAGTTTTCCTGAAGCCGTGGTCTGTCGAAGCCAGGTCCTGGCTGAGCCCCTGGAAACCTAGGCGGTACCGAACTGATGCCGTCTGGCCTTCTTTTCTCGGCAACGGCGTTGGGTTGCTGGCTCGGGAACGTCCCAGCAGTCTTGGGCCGTCCTTTCTCAATTTCATTATGGGAAGGCTGGATTGGTGGCGGTCCGGTCTTGATGGGCGGTCTGTCTTGATTTTGTAGGTGTGCTCGCTGGGTCGGTAACGAACTGGTCCCACTGCCTTCTGTCTTGTCATTATTTGGCTCGCGCCTTGGTGACGTGCCGAACTTATCGGGGCCTCTTCTGTCATGCTCTCCGCTGGGCCATCGAACTGGCATTGAAGAGCTGTGTTCTCTCTTGCCGCTGGCGTTGGGCTTTTGTGCTGGTATGGAAGGGACATTTTTGGGAGGTCCTTTCGAAGAACATGCGCTTGGCTGTCGAATCTGTAATGAATTGATGTCGTTGAAATGTCTTCTGTCGACGTTGACATCTGATCGCTGAACTGTCGACTTGAGTGTAGATGTGCCACTACGCTCCAATTGTCGTTCTCTGGTGTCTCCTCGAGGTTTGTAGGCCTTCGGCACTGGCTCGGCGTACCAAGACTTTGGTCGAAGCCAGTAGTGGTGGTGATGGGTGTGAGAGCAGCGTCGGCCATCACGTCCGCCTTCTTCTGATTTGCGGCCCAGACTAGATGTACTTCCGTTGCCGAGTCGCCTTGTAGCCTTGCTGGTGTTGTCAGAGATTGGTTCTCTTGAGCTGACTTGAACTTTGTCATGCCAAGATGGTTGTCCAGCAGATCCCGAACCGAAGCCCCGACCTCCTCTTTCCTGCTCATGGCCTTTGGGCTTGCCGGATGACTTTGGTATATCGACCATAACTTTGACCGGGACGAAGTCGCTGTAACTTCGTTGGTGGGAGACGGAACTTTGTTCATCTTCGAATCGGACGGATTTACTGCGGTTATGTGAGCCTGTCCTCCTGTCTCTTGCTGTAGTGAACCCAGGGTCTTTTCCCCTTGAAGATCCGCCAGTTCGCAAGATTCCAGGGGATCCCAGTCTTTCTTCAGGTCGCCTTGTTGCTCCCATGGCTGGAGGTGTTTGAGTCGCGCCTCGCCGTTCTTGGTTGATAGGGGCTGGACGCTGACTTTGTCCGCCTGTTGGCCTTCCGGGGTTATCCAAGTGTCCATTGCTGAGACCGTTCGTCTCGAATGTTCCTGGTAGAGGAACCCCAAGGGATTGTGCCCTGGCGAAACGTTCTTTTCGACGCTCGATGGCGCCGTCTGGCTGGAAGCGCCCAGGGGTACTTGCTCGTCTGCCGGGTTGACTGACCCCCGGCACCGTTGGCCTAAAAAAGAATCCGTAATGGGCATATTGCTGAACCCACCCGGTCTGATGGTCTGGGTAGAACTTCGAGGCCTTGGATAGGCTAAAGGAGGCGTGATATGCAACTCGGGCACTCCGGATCTTTGGCGCTGGTCCTCTCTCGGGAGGGCGGGAAGAGGTCTTTCAGTGTTGATTTTGCCGAAGGATATCTCGTTGCCTCTTAGCTGGCGGGCAACAGGAGAAGGGCGGTTGCTCCCCTCGCCATGCAGTACTGTATCTGAAGAGCCGGTGTCGTCGTCAATGAGTACATGCTTCGGTAGGTGAGACTTGGGACCTGAGGGACCAGGAGGGCCTGAAGGTACTAGAGGACGTGGAGGACTTCTCCGAACCGGTTCGAGGAGCTCCTGAACTCTCTGTGGCTGCGGCATAGGCCGTTCGTCTTTCCTGTCTGAACCTGTCATTCTGTTTAGAAAAAGAGTGATTTTTTACACCCTCGGCTCAATACAATCGGGTCATGTATAGCTTACCGTGGTTCGACATGCCGGCCGATGACTGCGCTATAGGACTGAGGTTGGGTTCTTGTGCAGATGACCACTGCTGACGATTCCGATTCCAATGTATTCTCTCCTGAGCTCTGCGAAGCTCCTCCTTTTCTCGATCTTTGCGCGCAAATCGCTCCTTCTCCCGGTCCAAGACACTTTTGGTGTCCTTTTCCGTCAGAACTGTGGCTCCTCTGCGGGCATCGAGGGGTTTCCTTTGCGTCTTTTGGAACGAGGCTAACTTTGGGTCGAGTGCCCAGGTTGCGGAGCTGCTCGTCGAGGGTGTGATGATGTCTAATTCTCCTGTGTCAGGATTGAATCCCTGGACGCCGAGATAGTCGCCGCTTTCCTTGAGGAGCCTTCGCTGGGAATGGACTAAGCGGCGTTCCTCGATGCTTCTCTCGGCTCGGGTCGTTCTGGTTGCCGTGGTGTTTGCTTTGGTACTACCCTCCTCACGACGAGACTCGACAGAGCGACCTTTCTCATGGGAAACAGTCTCCGCGGTTTTCAGGTTGGAAATGTGGTTAGAGCCCTGATTCACTCGAGACGAGCCGCGTTGGGAGCGACGAGTCTTCGTCTTCTGCGTCTCGCTGGTCTCCTAATATCCTTTGGCTCGAAGAGTGCCGCCCTTCTCAGCCCGGTAGCTGGGCAAAAGACTCCTCAGACGAGAGCTAAATGTCGGCTTGTGAACCGAGTCCTCTGACCGCTCCTGCCCAGGTCGTCGAGGGAAGATACGAAACGATGGGGAGATTTGCTGGTCGGAGTCTGGGGCAGAGTGGACTGACATCGTTGGCCTGGGGTGCTGCGGGATAGAAATGCTGTAGGATAGAAAGTAAACAAACAATTTTGAGGTGCCCCCAGAACCATGAAAATGTCGCCGGGGATGTCCTGCAGAGACGTTGTCAACCCATGTGCAAGGACCAGGTTGAGTGAAGGATATCCCGGTTTCCCAAAGCGGCAGGAACTACCTCAGACGACGATAGCCTCAACTGCAGGAGTATGAAGACAACGAAGCTGATGGCAATAACTATGAATGTAATACAACTATGAAATTACTGGCAGCTCATTCTCAACTGTTTTGGTCATTGCCCTACCGGCCTTAGGACTGAGGGCTGGTGCTCAGGGACGGAGTGTTCTCTCCTTCCCCTTGGAACTGTGCCTTCCTCCTCTGTGGCTGCCACGAATTGCAACAACAAACCAAGCAGTTCTTCTTTGCCCTCAACTTCTCCTCCCTCACCCTTCAAAGTTTTCACTCTTCACTCTACAACTTCCCTATTAGCAACATCCCTTCCCCCACACCAATCTCTACCATCACCACCCAAACCAAAAACACCTCACCCGGCCATGAACCCCTACAATTGAGCAACAACAAGAACCTGCCTCTCAACAAGAACAGCAAGATGTTCGAATATTTCCAGAGGCTTCCCATGGAGCTGCGCGACGCCATCTGGAAGTTCGCCCTTCCGGAGGATGAACCAGAAGTGTGCATCGCGCACCCCGGCATGCTCAAGAAGCGATGGCAGTACCCACGCAAACTCTTCATTGTGTACATAGCTTACCCGGTTGTGATGCATGTATGCCAGGAGTCTCGAACGTTCGCCCAAAACTTCAAGTTGAGTGGTGTTCGGTTCACTACTCACCAGGGCACCACCGCGCGCGTCCCATTTCGCTTTTTCCGGCCAGAGTTTGACACTCTCTTCTGCACACGAGCCAACTTGCAGGACATTGGTGACAGCAATCTTGTCATCGATTGCCTGGCCCGTGAGCCTGGCTTGGACTCAATGTTCTGGGAAGTCCGTCACTTGGCTGTTGCGACGCGTGAGTTCCCCGGCATAGTCACTGACACTATCTTCGACGTCCTCCGTGAGCTAGAGACCATCACGCAGGTCTTTGTAAGCTCCTCAGTCGATGATTTCAATGGATGGACTAAAGAGGCCTTTGAGGCCCCCAAGCGCCGATGCAAACTCCGCGATCTCATTCACACCCCTGCATGGCAGAGAGAAATCAATGGATGGTGCGAGGGCGATGATTTTCTTGAACACGTGGAGTGGTACATGGAAAGATTCCGCAAAGAACTCGACATACATGGACGAAGATCCTTCCGGGAGGAATACCCACGCGGCCCTCACGAGTATGAGGAAGACGCTTGGGACCCTGCTCTGAAGGAGTTTACTGGTCTCAAGCTACATGCAAAGATCTTCGTCGAGTATGAGGCTGGCAACTGGACCGAGGAGTGTTGCAACAGAAAGCTGCCGGCTGACGCACTCCTGGCGCCGCGTCAGGAAGATTGGCATCTGCAAGAACCAGAGAATGAGGCCGGAGACGGTGACGAAGAATTTGAGGACTTGGAGGCGAACCTCGACGACTTTGTGCAGGCTGTGCCTGGTCCGACTTATGACTTCGCTTGGGATTTTGATGAAGCCATACGCGACGTTTACGACCAATCGGTCGATTTACTTTGAAGGTTGTCTCAAGCAAACTGCATGGCTACAACTTTCAGAGATCCAGCCAAACACTGGACTTTTGCATCGGGGCAAGTATCTTCTTTCTTTTTTCATGTCTTTTTTCCTATCTCATGGAACCATGGGCTAATTGCTTACCATCCAGATGGCACTCCCAAGTCATCGTACTTTACACAACCGAAAACGAACTTGGATGATGGGACGAAATTACCATGTGTTGGTTTAGGAATTTGATTAAGACGGAATGAGAGGATTGGATGGACGACTGGCAACGAGGTTAGGACGACATAACGAATTGGATGGACGACGGGCAATGATGCGAGGGCCACGAGATCTTGCAGCAAACGCTTGTCATCCACAACTAAGAGGACGAATCATGGAAAGGGGACATGTCTCAGATTAATACACTTGCTACACCAGACAGAGCCCGCACTGAATTGCAGTTTGCACAGCATGAGATTCCCCCGAGACGTGAACCATGAGAATCTTGATTCAGCTTACTGGTATTGGCATATTCAGAACGCTTTGACAGTGGCTTCGGATCATCACTAACGTTGAGAGTACGACACGCAAATCAAGCAAACTTATGTATCAAGTGAAATTTGAATTATGGGTTTAATAAGAATAAACACCAGCCCGGAATGACCGCCCGCCGCCCAAACCCAACGCCGCCATATGCTGCTAATGTCGATACAGTTCGGAGCCATCAAGCAAAAACAAAGTCCGCTGAAGCAATTTCGCCTCCATCTATGCAGTGTATGTCCTTCTCTCAGTCTCCCTTAGTGAAACCCTGACCACCTTGACGGGTATCGTTCTCCTTGTTGCAGACTTCTGTTCCTCTTCGCGCTAGCAAAGGGGTTGTATGAAGCCGAGTTCATATTGTTCTCGAGAGCATCGGAGCCGGTAGACCTTCTTGTCTCAGACTGCTTAAGCGGACTTCCAGCCTTCACCGGGCTCCCTCCCCTGCGCTGCTCCAGCGCCGCCATTTCTCGCGAATTGCGAGGAGACATGAAAGCCTGGTTCACATCATGCAGGCTGGTTGCCTTCTTCAAGGGCGAGTTCGCGTGGGTGAATACCCCCATGTTGCCTCCAAAGTTTGTCGATCCGGTGTTTGGGGCCATGTTCGAAGTTGAAGTGGAAGTGGACTGGTACCCGGTAGGCAGGCTCTGTCGAACCGATCTCGTGCTGGGGACTGGCGTAAAGGCCTCAGAGCGGCGGCTCGTCGTGGGCGTGAATAGGCGAGAAGCGAAACTGCTGGTCGGCGGTGTGTACACGGGCTCGTCCTGCTTAACGTGGGGGTTGGGCGTCGTGACAAATTCCTTCTTGATGAGGGTAGTAGGAGTGCCGACTTCGACGAAGGACTCCTCATCCTTCGATTCTTCTGGAGAGCACTGCGTACCGACATCGCGAACGACCGGGTGAAGGCGCGGACGCACAAACTTGGTATCGTACTCGTGGAGGACTTCCTTGTGAATGATGGCCGTGTCCTTGATCTGCTGGGCGTACCGAGACTGGATGAAAAGGAGCTGTGCCGAGAGAATGAGTTGCAATACGATGCAGTTGAAGACAGTCACACTAGGCCGAGGATCCAAGGGAACCAGCGGCAGGAACATCATGTAGACAAGGACGTGACCGGGGCTGAAGAGGCAGAAGAGCTGCAAGGAAACCGGCAGGGGGTCCCAAACGCTCAGCTCCCACACGTCATGAACTTGGTCGGGATGAGCTCGCGACTCAGCAGTCTCGGGAACCAATAGGTTTCCAAGTTTTCGGAGAGGGGAAGATGCGGACGGATCTAGGTTGGCCTTGACCCGTTGCGCAGAGGGGGTATGCGGCTTGTCATCAATGTTGACTTGGAACAGCCGGTATTGCCTCGTTCGGGTCATCGCGTAAAAGGCGTTGGCGAAGGAAAGAACGCCCAGAATCCAAACGAGCGGGCGAATCTGAAGACAAGTTAGCCTGTGCGATGCGGCAGTCATACGGTGATACTGGTGACTTACTACGAAGGTGATGAAGCTGCCGGAACCCGCGTCGTTGAATACATCGTCCTCAACTTCCGACGTGAGGCTATTAGCTCTGGCCAGAAGAAAGACGAAGTTGAATCCAAGTCCGAGTTGCGTCCCCAGTGCCTTTGAGTCCCAGTCTCTTGTTTCCAGCTCCTCAGACAACCAAAGCAGAGTATCTATCGGGTTGAGCCACGCTTTCACGCGCTCGGAAAGCGGCTTCTTCCTCACAAGGCGCGGCATCTCGTCGGGTTTGCGATTGCGGCTCGCAAAGTCGTTTTCGTCGATCTGATGATTGTTGGTCTAGAAGGGGTCGACGGGAGGGGGCGACGAGGCCGAAGGTGGTTGTTGTCGCTGGTTGAAATTGTTTACAAAGAAGTCTGGGTCTATTGATTTTTGGGGATGTTGTCCCGCCAGGCAGGAGCTTCTGACAGGGGTAAGGTACCCTCTGTTAGGCGGCCCCAATTTGGATGTCCACGTCGGGAGGCAGGTACGTATCTGCTGCAGTGGGGTTCACTGGAAGGTTCAGTGGCTGTTAGTAGCGCTGTGCTACAGCAGGCAGTACCTGGCGGCGAAGCGCTAACAGTTCCACGCAAGGTGCCGTCTGCGGCTGTTCCGCCGCCGCAGTAGGTAATCAAGGCAGTACGTCAATCCGCTCGTCGACTCTTGGGCATCGCAAGTTCTCCTGCAACCCGCATCAAGTCACCCGCCAGGATGGCTTCACAAGCAGATTACAAGGACCGGCAGTTCCTCGCCGTCATTGGCGACGAGGTCAGATGACCCGATACCGATGATATCTCTGCGATTGTCTTTGCTGACGGCCTCGACAGGACTCGGTCACCGGTCTCCTCCTCGCAGGCATTGGAGTACGTCCCCTCGCATGAGCGACAGCTACGAACCGACGGTTACTGATGGATTGTGCAGCACGTTAGCACAGGAGCCGACCAGGAGAAGAACTTCTTGGTCGTGGATAGCAAGACCGATACCGCTGCGATCGAGTCCGCGTTCGAGTCGTTCACCACAAGGAAGGACATTGGCATCGTTCTGATCAACCAGCACGTCAGTTGCATCGAGAACAGGAGGGCTTCGCAAGGTCATCGTTAACAGGAGGACAGGTTGCCGACCGCATACGACACCGCATTGATACCTACACTGCCGCATTCCCGACCGTCCTCGAGATTCCGTCCAAGGACCACCCGTATGACCCAGAGAAGGACAGTGTTCTGCGCAGAGTGCGCAGGTTGTTTGGCGAGTAAACGTGTGCTCGCGTCATCTCAGAGTAATCAAGATTGGGAAAATCGTTGTTATGGGGGGTAGAGAGTGCAGATTATGGACGGACCAGGTTGGTCTGTCATGAAATAAATCGAGAGCTATCAGTCTAGCACTCGCTACCCTATGTACCTCATTATGCCGACACTCCTACGCAGAAAAACCATTTGAAAGGCAGAAGAAGCACCCTGTTTGAGTGGCAGTGTGTTCCAAGGTGCTAATGCTAAGGCCGAGCTATGATATGGAAGTCCCCTCAACGTCAATCTGGATGCGTATCGCTACGTGCAACTGTAACCCATGCTCATACTCCGTCATCGTGAAACCATCGTGATGCTTGTGATTATTACTTTAAAGCTCGAGACTGAAGAAGCTCTTCTTCTGGCTGCGGGAGAAGACGACAGAGGCGGTCAAGCAAGTGATGGGCTCGTCGTCGGCGGTGTAGACATCAGCGAAGACGGTGTACTTGCCCTGTATATTGGTTCAGCAACGGGGCGGCAAGAGAGAGCAGCAGGGTCAAACTCACAGAGGGAATCTCGTTGGGAAGCTCGACAGACTTGGTAATGCTCAGGACGCCCTTCTCGATGGGGCACTCGAGGTCGACGTTCTCAATCTGCTCGCAGAGGTCCGCCTTCGTGCTGATAAGACGAATCAGGCCGTACTTGACCTGCAATAGGACGTAGGCGCCCTTCTCGATGGTCTCCTTGACGGTACCGGAAGCCTTGATGATGAGTTCCTTACCACTGAAACGCTGTGTTAGCTGATGTTTGTTTCACGATGCGGGTGGTTGTAGTGCGTCATCATCACCATCATCGGCGGGAGATGTACGCAGGGCAAACGGGACGTACGCCTGAGGAGGGTTGGGGGAAAGGTCGACGCTCTCGATGGAGACGACGTCCTTGCTGTGGTCCTTATCGCAGAACTCCAGAGGAGACTCGCCAGGGACCTTGGAAGCCTCGTTGACGATGACGGATTGGTCTCTCTGGACGAGGACGCTGGCACCAACCGGTGCGAGACCAGCGGAGAGGAAGGCGATGACGGCGGTAGCGAACCTCATCGCGAATAAAGGTTTAATGTTATTTCGGTAGGTGATTGTTAAGGGAATAGGATTGTGAGTGCTCGAACGGGAGAGATATCGACGTTTGGCGATATGGCTCGGCGTGAAGTCGTCGATGTCCGAGGCTCGAAGCTTAGCGTTGTAGAGATGGCTGGCGAGGCAAGCAAGGTAGCGGGTAGATAGATGGATGGAGTAGTTCCTGCAAGAGGCTGTGGTTGGCAGGTGGTGAGCAATGGGGCTGGGTTCGGGGGGAGAACGTCATGGGGGCAATCAAGGATGCCTCTGATTCGCCGCACGGGGTGGACCTTGGTTGGCACAAGCGCCGTTTCTCTCCACAGCGACCATGGCGACATGAAGGTACGAGTGCTGCAGATACATGGGCCAGATTGCGACAGAGCAGCTCCATGGGCGAAAGACGTGGTAATTATCATGATCATTATGGGCAGAAGGCTGCCAGACATCAGCAGAGCACATCTATTCACTTTACATCGACGCGATTCCGAGTTTGCGACAGTTGAAAAGACTGTAAACAATGGCTTTCAGTCGCCCAACATGTACCTTTATTCGTTGGTGCACGCCAGGGACGCTCGAGCCATCTTGAATTTCCACTTTTTGCATGTCCCCTCGAATCCCACATTGCATTCGTTATCAGCGCAGCTTCAAAGTTGATCTCCAAGCAGCCTCTGTGCGGATGGCACTTTGTCACGGCGAATGGTTCGAATTGAAGCACGAATCCTTATCAACCTGTCAGAGCCGCATTGGGCGACGGAGATGGCGCGATTGAAATCCCTTCTTCATCATCCAAGCAGCCAGCTTTCGCCTCCACCCGCGCTCGCCTTTGCGACAGCTGGAGCCATGTCACAAAAAGCAGCTGGGCCGTTTCGACTGTGCAGGTATCGCTGGAAGATCCCTGAAGTCCTGGTCCCGTGGACAGGTCCAAGCAGGCAGTCTACGACATCAGCATAAGAGCCAAGTGGCCCGCCTACGCTTTCCTCTTGCCTCTCGCTGAACAGGCGTCTCTCCCTCTCTCTCCCCCCGTCACAAGCTCTGTCCTCCTCAAGCTCTCCGGTGTCAGGGCCAGCGCAGCGTGGCCCGGCTTCCGATCTAACCATCTCCAAGTCCCGAGTGCGCAGGTTTCGTGATTGGACAACCAGATTCCCGCGATTCAAGAGGCGTGCTGCTGCATGGATGATTACCTGAGGAAAAGGTAGCCACAACAGCAGGAGCCACACCCACCTTATGCATTGCCCACGATGGGAAGCTGTTCTTTTTAGGGTCGCATGGTCGCCCGTCCGGCCACGACCCAATCACAGTTGTGTCGAGTGCAGGGAAGCCAGCGCAGGAAGGGCTTCCGCTGTAGCGGACGATGGTGAGAGACGTGCGAGGGATGGGCCAACCTGCTTCTTGGACGAAAACTGGGGTACCGTACGGACTGTAGGCCGGCCGTAGGTAAGGTACTTCATGTACCGGGCACTTCAGCATGTCGCCTGGGCTATCAGTGTCGCAAACTTTTTGTTAGGCCTCGAGCATGCAATTGCTGGACAGGGAGATCCTAGCCAACAAAACACAGGCCGCGAATCATGTCGGGAGTCCTGACGCCAGCTGGAGGCGGATGGGCGCTCGAGAGTCGCGACTCTTTGTTTTGTTTGTCTGTTTTGCCTGGGCTGCTGACTGTCAGTTGTTGGAGGGAGGACGGGCGGGGGCGAAAAGCCAAGTAGCGCCCTTTCCCATGTCGATCTGATCAGGGCGCAGGAAGAAAAGAAACACGACGGCTACTCGAGGCGAGGCGAGGCCAGGCCGCTCGCTGCGTGCACCACTGTCTCCTTTACGTTGTACAGGTGCTTGAGGATCAGCCAGGGCGTTGCTGGATCGAGGACCCGAGACGTGTCGCTCCAATAGCAGCGCCAGGTGGTGAGAGCAAAAGCGAAAGATGCGCAAAGGCGCCGCGCGTAGTCGCATTTCAAGGTGCGCAGTTGCGCTGGGTGGAAGCATTGACAAGATACGACTGGTACAAGTACCGGTACTTGTATAACTATGACTGCTGAGGCGGATTGATGACACCTAAGCAGCTCAAAAGGCAATACCCCTTGTCGCCATGTCGCGTAAAGTTTAAGGCAGCGTGCCATTTACCGAACATTTGGAGGCCGACCTGGCTGTCCCAGATGAGGGGTGAGCCGGTTCGGAGAAGACGAAAGCCAGCAAAGCCATCTATCTACCTCCATGGGCGCAGCGAAAGAGTCTACCTACTCAGTAAGGGCGGCGTGGGATTGTTGAGGTCGCAGCGCTTTTTGAGGGGACGATCTGGAGGAGGCGAACATGGGCAGTCATTGCCGACGTTTTGATGCAATGTTGATGATGATGACATGCCCTGGTGCAAACTGTGGGCGTTTCTGTTGGAGAGCGACGCATGACGGAAGCATGAAGAAGACGGAGCGGTGATGGTGGCAGATGGTCGTGGAGGCCTGGTTTGCTGCAGTCATCAATCTCGCGGGTGACAGCGGTGGTCGACTTGCAGGCGAGACGGCATTTTCAGTCTGGCGGCGGCACCAATCCCGACAAGATTGCCATCTGAATCGCCGACTTGTTTGTCGACTCCGACGACATGTCGCATGCAAAATGCAGGTCTGCAAGTCGCAGGCAGCAAGGCCAGTGGACCATGACTGGGCGGACCGACTGTGAGGTGTGTGTAGCTGCAGGGAGTGGAGGGAGAAGCAGGAGGAGGAGCAGCGACAACAGAACAGCTCCATGCACGATGATATTAGGCCCTTGCCGTAAGACCCCGTCGGTCATTCTCAGATGGCTGTTGTGCCCAATGAGAAGGGAGCGCGGGAAGTTGAGTTGAGACTCGAGACAAGAGCGACGCGACGCTGCGCAGCGGGGAGCTGCTGGCTGCTGCCCTTGTCGCAGTGGCACATTTTCCAATCGAAGTCGAAAGTCACTCCTGGAGTCCTGAGTCCTCAGCCTTTTTCTCGTCAGCGGATGCCTGCCCAGATGTATCTCTCGAGTACTAACCTTTCCAAGTCTTTACCCAACACGGTAGCGTGCGCTGGTACAAACTCTAGACGCCCTTCTAACTCTACCGGCTCGCCGAACTCTGTCCCATTGGATCTTGTCTTTGCCCAGGCAGGCATTCAAAGACACCGCAGAATGCAGGCCAGAAGCTCTCCGTCGAGCGTCGAGCGCTGGCTCAAGGTACTGGCTGCATTGGGGGCGACTTGTGGGCGGCCCGGCTGGACTCGCTCTCGTGAATGGGGGCGAGGGGCCGTCTCGGTTGGCCTGCACCGATCCCATTGGGCCATTCTCCCTTGGTCCCTTCTTCCTCCAGGCTCCAAGTCCTTGAGGGTCCTCCGACTTGTCTCTCATCGCGCACGCTGTGTGGCAGTACCCCTGGCGCCCGAGACTGGATGGTGACCTGGATCGCCTCCCGATCAGAAAAGAATGTCCACTCGTAGCCTTCAGGCAGCACACGGGAATGGTGCGAGTGCAGGCAGAGACGGCCACACGGAGGCGAGAGGTACATGCGGCCACAAGCAGCCAACACCAAGCTGCCATGTCACTCGGGCATCTCCTATTTTTAAAAAATTGCGCATAATCTGCCTGGCCTCATGTCGTCGTCTTAACGGGATGAAAGCCATGGAAACCCCCGATTCTCGGTCGCAGATTCTGCTGGTTTTCCAAGCCGCTCAATCCTCGCCGCCCCGTCTCTGGAACTCTACAACACCGCCTGATCAACGAGACCAAACCACGCTGACATTCTCTTTCTCTTGTGCCGTCCGTCTTGGGTTCGTTCATGCCTTCCCGCACGCATACACGCAAATATTCGCACACATTCGGGCCAGACATATACGCACACTTTGTTATTGCTTTAGGGGCTTCTGGCGTCTGCACGTACGCCCTTACTCGCCTGGCTGGCTGCGTTTGCCTCTGCTGCTATCCTGTTTCTTTCCTGCTGAGCCTTTCGCAGCCTGGAGGACAGAATGCGTCCGCACAGTCCCTTGCCTCGCCGTCTGGCCCTCCTCAGTGTACGGATACCGTTACCGTCGCGCGGGTCACCGTCTCTCACCCCCTCTCTTTCAGCCGCCTCTTTCCCTCTCTCACAGTCGTCTCCTCTTCCTCCGCCCGTTCCCATTCCCCCCGCCGTTCCCGTCACATCCGTTCCTACTAGGGCCCAGCGAGGGTCACCTCCAACGCACACCAACAATCACACTCTCTGCCGCCCATTTCTTCTCTTTTATTACTCATTAAATCTTTGCATGCCGTCTCTTGTCCCTCCACTCGCGGCCGACGAGACTGGCCGTTCCCTTTTGTTCACAACATTGGCAGCAAGCCCGCTTCTCATCAAGATGATCAGAGCATCTCATCTTCTCGTCAAATACCTTTTCTCGAGGACATACGTTGTTGGCCTGGATGAGCCTCTTCCTGCAAAACCAAGATTTTGCTTCTTCCCCCCCGCTCATATTTTGGCTGACCTTCTGGTGCGGAGGGCTAACAGGCAGTCGTCAGTCCTTCATCAGACGGGCCATCTCTTGTCTGGTTGCGGCCTGAAACCGCGTCTGCCTGAGGCACCCGCATTTCTGCGCTAAAGGGCTGATTGGACTGCCGTAGCCACTCATATCAAAGTGTCCACCGCCTTTCGGGACTAGCTCCAAGTAAGTACTGGTACCTTCGTACCCTGTTTTCCTGAACCCACGGGCTTTGGCTTTCGAGTCCCCCGTCGTCTCCTCCCTCCAAGCCCGTCGAGAGCCACAGAGAAGAGAAGTCTCCCTCTGTCTCCTGCTCGCCCTCTCTTTTCTCAGGCAGCGTGTGCTCCGGCTGGCTTGCCCACCAGGCTGGCCCAGGGTTTGCTGGCTGGCCGCTGTGGTAGAGCCAGTGCTCCCCAACAGTGACAAGCCTCCTTCAGCAACAGGCCGCACACCTCACAGTCGCTGCTCCAGCAGCACCTGTTGCACCAACCCAGGGCAATGGGTGAAGCTGAGGTCACAGGTGAGTGACGGGTCTGCGCGGGCACCCTTCCTTTTCCTTCCACCCCAAAATCCCATCTTATCCCCCCCTCCCTCATCCCCCCCATCGAGTCCGCAGCGGCGCACCAAAGCACAAGGTGCCAGCCAGCCCAGCCCAGCCAGTCCCGGTTCGGTCCCAGTCCTGGTCCCCCCCAACACCCCAAGTCAGTTCCGACCAGCAGAACAGGAGCAGTGCAGTCACTGTTCCCCTACCCGTTCGCCCTCTCTCTTTTCGGCTTGGCCTGGTCTCTGGTCCGCACGC